GAGTCGAATTAAAAATTTGAAGCAAAAGATCCGGATCCGATTATCCGAACCGGAACCGAACCGAAATAAAGGTATCGAACCCGAACCAAAATTTATAAAAATACCCGATGGATCCTAACTTCCTCTACCCGAAATATCCGGAACCGATTGGTTCCGAACCGAAACCGAACCGAATATCCGAATGCCCAGACTTATTACCAATTTTGTTTTGTTATTTTAGCCTACCGCTGTGATCAGCAAATATATATAATACTTTAAAAAAACTATGAGTTAATTTTCTCTAGGTTGACAAAGGAAGAAGATATGTTTTTCCTCAGATATTTAGTGTTTTCCAGATAAGTGATTTCTCGAGAGCTAAAAATACCTTCTTTTATTTGTTAGAGAAAACCTTTCATAATTTAATTTTTTTTCTTACGACAGCTTACAAATTTATTTTTTTAAAGTAATCCTACCTACGAAGGATTTACAGTCCATCTCGTCCCCAAATGTTAATTAATGTGTAGCGTCGTTAGCTTAACCCCTAGCTAATAGCATTTTTAATGGAAATGTCTCTTCGTAGAAAAGTAATGCAATATTGGTATCTAGATATTTTTCACTGGACAGAAGAAGAAGAACAAGATATTTGTTATATTTATTTCAAAAGTATTTGCACGTTCACTCTAAATATCCTCCGTGATATGGTAGGGAAAAGAATACATCATAATTCAATACTGTTCGTCATATATATCGTGAATTAAAAATGAGTGTGTACTGTGATAGTGTAACCGACCAGCCAATTATATAAGTTATTCTATTTTTATCTATAAATTTGTTGATCAATGTTTCAATAAAATGAAAGAATAATCTATAGTTTGCTTTCTCCTTAATTATCATTATTTTTTTATTTGGTTAAAGCTCATTATTCATGAGTTTATGACACTATCAACTAATTTTTAAAAAAATTGATATTCAACTTGTATCCATCCTTCCGATTAACAATGTGAAACGAAAAATCACAGGAATAAATAAAAAGATCGACATCTAGAAATTCACAATATGACATTTAGATTTGTTTATCATTAAATAATGAAATGGTCGACATAAATTGTGATTACGTACGTAAACTTTTATAACTAATAGAAAATGTAATTTGCAGAAGAAAAAAAAATATATGCGGTGAACAAATGCAATACGTCATTTTAAAAAAATATTCGCTTCCTCTAATTGTGTTTCGTTTATCTTAATCTTATTATTTTGAAAAAAATAAAAACAAATATATATACTCCGTATTTATTATGCTTTTATGATAGAAATTCCAATACAACTGAGAGATATTTCTCATCTGATATACCTGTAGTTTTATACTCTCAGTCCATGTTTTAAAAGAAAAATAACATAATAGGAATCTTTGACCTTAAGAAGCCCAACAATTCCTAAGATTATCTTACGCTTAATTATTTAAATATTGGTTATTAATATTAATAGACATGCCGCATAATGTTTTTTTTTTATCAAACCAGCCCGATGTCTCACCTGTAATCCCACTTTCTTGGAATCTCGACTGTCAAGATACCATAATCTTTGTCTTTTTTTTCAAAAAGGGAGAGAGGGAGGGAGGGGTATGAAAGAATTTATTATAAACATATGTGCTGTATTTGCTTCGCTAATAAAATTATGTAGAAGCTAAGTGTAGGTGTAAAATATAGAGATAAATTTAAGAAAAAATAAATAGAGAATATTTTTAGATAAAATATATTTTAAAAATACGATTAAGAAAAAAATATAGTAGAAACGAGTATGACTTTTTTCTTAATCTAAAATATCTTCGTAGCACCCGATTATAGAATCGATGAATGATCGTTCTACTATATATTCTAGAATTTACTTGACAGAAGATTAAAGCATGAGAGAGATTGCTGTGTAGTATGAATTTTTTTTTGTGTAAAAAAAGAAAAACTACGTAAGCCAAAATAAATTAAAAAAGACAAAAATCTTTTTATATAATTTTATAGTTTTACTCAATAAATATATACAATAATAGAGAGATGTGGAGGTTATAAATTTAAATTGATTTTGAATCAATTGTGAATAAAAGAGACAGTCAACATTGAATTAATTTGTTTGGTTGATCAGCAATTTCAAACAATTTTGAGCCAGAAAATATCTCATCTCCTCTAATACATTAAGTTTATAATCTCTTATTTCTTTTCACACTTTTTTAAATTAATAAACCATTGGACTTTGATTAAATTTGGTCCAACACCAAGTTAATTAACCTTACTAAAACAAAAATCAAAGCTACCATTATAGGTTCATAATCCAATCAGAATAAATACATTCATTGGAGTTTATTTATAAATCTCAACCCACGAAATAATAGAAATTTTCTTTATTAATAAACGAAATAATGGGAAATTTGTCCGCTTTGATTTGTTTAAAGAAAAATAATAATAATGGGAAATTTGTCCCCTTGTAACCAAAACATTAAAAAAAAATGAAGCGTGTCTTTATATTATATTATCTTATTATATTTTTTTGTCGTCTATTATCTTATTATATAAAAAGACGACATATGCACTCTCAATAAGTAATATTTATTTTCTTATCTACAAGAAACATTAAAAAATAATAGTACAAGAAAACTGAGAAACGCTTAAAACATATACATGTCAAGTTTGAAATATATTTTACCTTCACGATATCGATAATTAATCTGCTATCAAGTCTTTGTTTTTTTATCCATTCAAAGGCAACTCTATTTGACTAGTTTCTTCTCTGTCTATTATCTTATATCTAACAATACTATATTTTTTTGTTTTAATATCTAACAATACTATATAAAGGATGAAATTCATCTACAATCTCCTGTTTCCCAGCGTTGTTACTTGGTATACTAACCTGGTGTGGAACATTCACCACGTGATGTTGTTAATCTCATTAAAAACAAATTTTTTTTTTGGGTGAGAATTTCCTTGAAAAGAGGGCCATTTCAGAATTATCACATATTCTCTCATGATAATACGAAATAATCTTTTTTTTTTGGGATTTAATATGAAATAATCTTGTTGGGAGCAAAAACGTTTTTCCTCGTGATGATCGGAATACCAGAGCGCAACCAAACATACACAAAAACAACAAACGATCGATAGACTTTTAAGAAATCGTAGTGATGATTTCATAATCAATATAATTCGTATTTTATAATTTGATCAATCAAGTGATAGTGGTTAAAGAGTTCATTTTGAATTCTTTGGCAGAGTTTGAATCTTTCTAATGTGAGTTCAATCATCTTTAAATCACTGTTTTTATTTTTAATCACACATATATTTTCAATGGTAAGAAAACCTAGATTTAAATGGGTTTCGAGAGATTAGTTTTAATTTCGATTTAAAATTCTCTTGGTAAAAAGTAACTGGATCCTTTGTAAGCTATGTAGAGTATAGATAAGCAGAGTTGCTTAGTTCTTAGATTCCCTTCACAAGTCGTAGTTAAATGCTATCATTTCGTATTGTTGCAATTCAATATTGCATCAGTGTAATGCTGGTTTCAACATGCTCCATCGGCCATCGTCACTTATACGTCATACAGTGCGCCAAAACATCATTAATGCAGCTTATTCGATGAGCTAATTGCACATTTATTCGGCAATCGGGATTAAATAAGTGTTGTTTAGTGACTAATTGCTTATTTGTTGTTAGTACTTAGTATGGTGCATATGTAACCTAATGCCTTAGTTATATCTTTTCGCTTACGGCATCGTAACATCCACGTGTTGTATATTGATTCATTCTTTCCTAAAATACTTTTTGGGAATTCTACTCCTAATCGATACAAATATACAATTCGACCAAAATTTGCTCACACCTCACAATGACCTTTTTTTTTGTAACTACCTCATAAAAAAAATTTCTCATAATTTTCTTTCCTTTTAGAAGCGTGTAACTGTAATATTCTTACGGTTTTTCTTTACTTTATTAATTTGAATCATACATTACATAGCTATATATATAAACGTACATATACGACAAAAACATATAAATATTCATTTAAAAAAGTGATATAACTGAGAAATAAAGTGAAATTACACGCTGTTTCATTTTCAAGGTAAGCCTTATACGTACTGAATATATAATATTTTTGATAAAATTTTAATAGATCACTGATTATGATCCATGTTTAAAATATTACCTCGGTACGTTATCAGCAAAAAAAAAAAATTGAATTATGTATAGCTGTGTATGAAACTGATGTTGATTAAAAAAGGACATACATTTAGATGAAACTTGGATTACTGTTGAATTATTAACACCGATCAATACAACTATGGTTATTAATTACAATATTAAATTCGTTAGTTTTTCTGGACAACCCAATACAAATTATGTTCTTATGGGTATCGTGTGTACACACGCATATATATATATATATATATGTAGTTTTCTTGGACTCGAGAAAGGGTTGGATCCAATTGGAAATATATGGCTTTTCTATGGGCAGCGCAGTACTAAGTGGAAGTTTTTTTTTTTTTTTTGTAAAACTACTAAAGTGCAAGTTCCATACTCACATCTTTGCTTTCCATGCAACTTGCTCCATATTAAGATACAATGATACATTTATTTGCGTAACAATATTATTTTGGGGATAATTTAAGATAGTTTTTTTTTCTTCGTCTTCCTTTTACTTTTGGGTTCGGTGTGTGCTCGTTCACTGGTCAACAGGAGCGCTGACCCATGCTCAAGTACCAACTAGCTCAGCTAGTAACAACATTGTTGAGTACTACAACAGTTTATACTTGTGAAAAAAAAAAGTTATTTGGCAAATTTCTTGTGAAACCATCAAACCAGTGTAAGTAGTATCAATTTTCGCTATCGCAAAATATATCATATTTAAAAAATTGTTGGAAGGTAATTACTATGAAAGTTACAAATCCCTCTGGTCATGGTTAGCCTATCTGCATTGCATAGTTTATTGTTGTTGTTCTTTATAGGTTGGGTTCGATACTATTGCGTTGTCATATATATGCTTATCAATAATATAATTTCTAATTCATAATATGTAACTTGAGGGACCCAATAAATTAAAGACCAACAAATTAAAACCGATGGTATGACTTACACTTTACAAGATACAACAGATAACTCATGTAATGTCATCACTAGCCAGTATTGGTAGCTGCTCAGAATTAGAAGTTCAAGCTAATGTCGAAATTATGTATAATCAAACAAACTAAAGTAAGACTAAGAATCAAAATATGTAGCGCCGTAGCGGTCTACGGTGGTTAGACCGACCAAAAAGTGACGATATTTAATTTCACTGGTATAAGAAAGTTTATGACAAACGATAAGATTCAAAGACCAAAATAGTCGAATTCTATTATAAGAGGAAACTATATTTTTCTTTTTTGCACACTACGTTTGCCAGCCCACTATTGTCTTTTATCATTTCAATAAATTATTCAATCTTTTGTATGCGAATATGCGATGATACAAAAAAAAGTAACAATGTGGACCTCCTCGTTATTCAAAATAAGTAAAAAACAATCGTGATCAGCATTTAATTTAAGTTAATACAATTCAGGACAAAATTTTGATTGGTTTAAAATTAATTTGTGTGGGATTCAAGACGTATACAATGTAATCAAGGTGGTTTGATGTCTAACTAGTCCAACAACCAGTAATAATTACTGACCAATCATCGACCTTCATTCTTTGAATTTTAAAAGTAGCTTAATAATATCGACTAACTAATTATTATATATGATAATAAAAAGTATATATATAATAGAATAATCATCGTCGACGTCAGATTTTCACCTCTTTCTCTCCGGCTTTGCATGGCTCTTTCTTGCTCCTTATCTCCCTCCCTTACCTATTATACTTCCTCTACAATTCCATTGCTAAATCTCCCATCCCTCTCTATCTCTAGCTAGGTCTCTTTATCTCTCTATCTTTCTCTCTAGCTATGCTTGGAAGCTATAGAGAAGTGAGTATTTCGTAATTTCAGTCTATATATCGGATTAAGCACACCAAATACATGTTTGATTAAGTTATTGTTATTCTCTCTCTCTCATTCTCTCTAGATCATTAATATATACAAATCACTCTATCGTATTAAGGTTATGTGGCCAAGACTTGTGGCCAACAAGATCCTAAGGAAAAGCGTCGGGAGCAATAACTTCGTCGCCGACTTCCCACCAGACACCGATGAGAAGCTCCTAGAAGCTTCGGGATTAGCTGATGAACGACCTTCTTTCGATTCTAAATCAATTGTTTTCAACCAACACAAAACCACTCATCTCAACTACAAGTAATACATATCTTGCTATAAACTTATAAATGTACCCTCGTTCACTTTGTTTTTTAAATAAAAATCTTACGATCATATATAGCATATATTTGCATACATGTTTATCTATATATATATACGGTGCATAAAAATAGTCATCTGTATTTTTAGGGTTTTTGTAAGCACATGGAACGTTGGTGGTATCGTACCGGACGATGGGCTGGACATGGAAGATCTATTGGAAGCACATAAAACGCCGTGCGACATATACGTGCTAGGGTGATTGATAAAATTAACTTTTACACTGCTACAATCTGTTTTTTTTTTTTTTTTTAATCTATAATAATGTCTTATTTTGAACGGAAATCTAGGTTTCAAGAGATTGTGCCTCTTCGAGCTTCAAATGTTTTGGGATCAGATAACAACAAGGTCTCTGCGAAATGGAACTCTTTGATAAGAGAGAATTTGAACAAGAGAGTAGCAGAACCTAACCAAGATAAAGAGAAGCCGGAATCAGAGGGAATTAACGGTATTTCACAAGATTTCAGATGTATAATAAGTAAACAGATGGTGGGAATCTTGATCACCGTTTGGGTCCGAGGTGATCTCTGGCCGTACATCCGACATCCTAGCATTTCATGCGTCGGATGCGGTGTCATGGGTTGCTTAGGAAACAAGGTAACTAATACTTAAAAGTTTACAATGTTTTTAATATTACAAAATCTCACTATATAGATATAAATATGCATACTGATTTTGGTGTTGACTGTTAGCAAATGATTATGTTTGTATTTGTATTCACTTGTGATTATTTTAATTTGTGGTTGAAATTGAACACGGTATTGTTTTGGGTATGAATGTTAAGTAAACACATGGTATTTGTTAAAAATAAATGTAACTTATAGTGCATTTTTAACTAGGACTCATAGTTGTCATTTTGTTTTTTTGTTTTTTGGTTTTATTGTCACTTTGTTATAACTAACTTGAATTATTTTTTATCTAATAAGATTTCCTTATAAAAATGTTCTGTTTGTCTGATTCTTAATTATACTTATACCAATCAGAATTTCTTAAATTTTCTTGATCATTAGGGATCGGTATCGGTTAGATTTCAACTGCACGAAACAAGCTTCTGTTTCGTTTGCAGCCATCTAGCTTCCGGTGGCCGTGATCGAGATGGACGGCACAGAAACTCAGACGTCAACGAGATCTTAGCAAGATCTAATTTTCCTCGAGGCACATCTCTCGACTTACCCAAAAAAATTCTTGATCACGAGTAAGCTTATAATATATATATATATATATGTATATATATATTTATAAAATTAGTATCTTAAAAACACTTCAAGATCATTTCAGAAACCTTGGGTTGTATAGTTTATGTAATTTAAAAGTTTCCAACTTGTAAGTAATTAAATAAAAATATGCTTAAGGTCAGACCAGAATTATTATAATCTAAAACAAGTTGACTCGTTAGATTTGAATGACTTTATATTGTGAAGAAAAGGCCACTTTGGTAAGTATACTTGTTAATAACAAGTGGGGTTTGTTTTGTTTCTGTTGGATCAGTCGAGTGATTTTTCTGGGAGATTTGAATTATCGAATCTCGTTACCCGAGGATAAGACAAGATTATTGGTGGAAAGAAAGGAATGGAGCGTCTTACTTGAAAATGATCAGGTATTGTTTATACACAGATGTACTTTAACAATTTCTTTGTCAAATAATTTGTTTATATAGATGTACTTTTAAAAATTTTCATTTTTTGTCCACATAATGAAAGTTGTAAATGCTTCAATTTATAATATGTTTTACATTGACTTAAGCTAAGGATGGAGATCTTGAACGGCCAAATTTTCAAAGGATGGCAAGAAGGAATCGTCAAATTTGCTCCGACTTATAAATATATTCCAAATTCGGATTTATATTATGGATGCATTACATACAAAAAAGACGAGAAGAAACGAGCTCCTGCATGGTAAGTAACGTATATGTTAGTTTATCATAATTTGTTTTTGTTTGTTTTAAAAAGGTTTAATCACATACATATATAAATATATATATACATATATATAAATATAATAGGTGTGATCGAATTATATGGTACGGAAATGGACTGAAGCAACATCAATATACAAGAGGAGAAGCGAATATATCTGATCATAGACCTGTCAAAGCAATTTTCACCACGGAAGTTACAGTTTTACAGCGTGGTAAAAAGATTCGTAATTTATTTTTCTCGGACAGGTTTGAAGACAGAATTGACGGGTATAATGAAATAGATTCCAAGGACTATTCGTGGATATCTACGTAATTTTATAATTAATCTGGAATCTGGTCGAAATCTCGTCTTTGTTCATATTATACTATACACACCCAGCTATAGTTAGTTTTTTTTTTTATGCAAAAAGAAAGCTTATACATATAGAGACTCTTTTTAGCATCTTGTAATAAGAGAATATATTAAAGATAGTTTGTGAAATATCGATTAAATATGCAATTTTGGCGAAAAGTGACAGTTGTATGGTAAAATTTTATTCATAAATTACAGAGTATTATCGAGTCCTTTCAATATGATAAAATATATTTATGCAGTTCAACAACTATATGGTCCGCGGTTATATATTTCTTAATAATCTAGCAATTCTGAAGATACATTTTAATATTTACATGTAGTAAGACCTGGTTTTTGATCTTCACCATTACAAAGAATTCTAAACCACAGAAAATCACTGAATCATCCATTTGGTTTGAAATTAATTTCTGTATTATTTATAAACAAAAACAAATTAAGTTATATGGAGGCTGACTAAGAGTTCGCATGCAATAACATAACATAAGTCACTAAGAGTCTAAGATGTAAAACCATTATAAAAATTCCCAATAATACTAATATCTTAAAGATGAAATCAATAAAAGAAATTGATCGTTCATATAACACTTCTCAAACGTATAGAAACGCATTAACAATCATTTGATCCTATATTCATTCATTATCTCGTTTATATTATCCATTTATAATTATTCATATTATTCAGATATCTTTTTAAAATAACTATCAATTATTCTTTAAGTTAACAATTTGGAGCCGATAAATATTAATCCGGTTCCACTCTTGTCCTACAAAGACTTAACATATACTTTTGTCGCTATGAAGATTTCAATTTTTATTGAAAAGACCTAAATCGGAACTAAAACTTTACAAAAGATTTTTGGAAGACTGATTACAATTTACATGCAAAATGTATCTTTTCGCGGTAGAAAAAAAGAGATCTCATTTCTGAGACAAAAAAAATAAAGATATCTCATTTGATTAAAACAAATTAAAAGATCGGATAAATGGAGAAACTAAGGCTAATGAACAAGCCATATGGTTGGTTACTTTGGCAGTTGGCATTATGTGAAGAGTGGAGGCCTGGAGCATGAACAATTGGGTATTTGTATAATAATATGAGACTAACAATCATATTTTATTTTATCTTATTTCTTTTCACAAAACAAAGAGATATGGTTCGGTTAATTATAATGGCAAGTGGTTTTAGTAAAATGCATATGAGTTGTTGTCGTGTGTCTTCCAAAATTATAGTTGTTGGATAATATATCATATAGTATGAATATCGAGTGAATTTGTTTAGTATATAAATGGGAAAATTACAAACGCCAAATATCTCATTACAAATAAATTTTATGTACTCTCACTGCCCTTTTTGGGCTTGTCCTTTATGGACTTAATACAATGGTTGACAAAAAAAAAAAAAAAAGGATCCATATTTTTTCTTCTCGCTAATCCATAATCTTAAGTTCTTTACTTGCAAATTGCAACCCCAACAAAAAAGGTAGGGATCGTCGAATATTTTTTGTTGAGATTATGTATATAATAAATTGTAGGTTGGGCCTATTTAACATAATGGGCTTAGACCAAGCCTAGAATCTTATCGAGATTATGCTATAAAACAAACAAAAAAGGAACAAAATTCGGGCTCTCGAGTTTCGGCGCCATTGAAACGTTCAAAAATTCGGCGACAAAAAAAAAAAAAAAAAGAAACGTTCAAAAATTCACTGAGAGCTCTAAAATCAGAAAGAGATGTCTACAGAGATTGCTCATCTGCGACGGAGGCTGGTCGAATTCCTGATTCAATCCACTACTGTGAGTTGATCTTCTTCTCCATCGGTATCTATTAGGTTATTGTTGCTCACTTTAATTTGCCTCTCCTGATTTTGATATTATTTGGATCTGGGTTTTGGCGATGAAAGCAACTCAAATTTCCTCCGATCGTTAAATACTCAGCTCTATCTCTCTTCCTCGATCGATTTCGCCCGTCAGTAGTCAGGTATTGCGTTTGTTCTCGTCGGATGTTTCCGGATTTGAGTTCTTAGTGACTTCGAATCACCAGTGCTTGATTTCTTAGGATTGATGGATTAACGATGTAAATCTGAGGATAATTTCATTTGACGTAGTAGTAGGCTTAACTTAATTTTGGATGATCACACAGTTTTGCAGTTTATGTGATTTGGATCAAATATTTTATGATGGATTGTGCATTATGTCTTGTTTGTGAATCTTCCTTGGATGTATCTTTAAAGCTTCTCGATCCGTTTTGGTTTGTAGGTTTATACAGAAGAAGAAAGCAGAACATTGGCTATTACAACCATTGACAGAAAGCAATCTGCAGCTATTTGTATTAATCTCCATATGGATCTCGTGCAAGGTGTGTTTACTTCTTACTTTCTGCTAGTTTTCTTTTGTGTGTGCTGCTCTTCTCTTCTATGTACATAGAGAACTGAGTTGTTGTTTCTGCAGATGCACTGTTCTCGTGGCTTATCGGTTCAAAGTCTGAAATCCTTGGGTGATAAGATGATTACAGAGCAACTCTTCACGGTTCGGGATTTCCTGGAAGCAGTAAGCTACTCTTGAAAATCTTGAAATTGTGACTGAAATGTGTGTTGATGCGTTGATATTCTCATTGAAATAAGATGCTCTTTTGCAGGAACTAGTTTTTCTGAAGGTAATTATTGTACACTTGGGGATGTTGTTTACGCTATAGAAGTCCAATCAAAATTATCGTCTGTCTTCCTCATTTAATATGAGACGCAGGTTTTGAGATTTGAGATTGGCACTTTAAATATAGCTTATACACTGCTTGAAGACCTTTTTATTCAGTTCAAGTAAGTTGTTTCGGCCTTATCAAGTATCTGACTTCTTCAATCTCCTACTTAAAACTTAAAAAGTTGACTGCTATTGTGCTAGTCGTGTTCTTAGTATCTAACTCCTAAACCATATTGTCTTCTACTAGAGAAGTTGCAAAGGTTGGAGAATCTTTGAACTTTGAAGCATGCATGGATATGATGGATCTTCTTTACGAGAAGGAGGAGACATCCCTTCTTTATCATTCTCCAACATCTTTGGCTGCTTCCATTTTGGTTACTTAATAGCTCTCCATGACCCTCTGTGATTCCTTTATAGGTACCAATTATTTTTATGAATAAACATCAAACTGAAACTAAATTGTGTTCTTATCTTGACCACAGGTCTCTTCTTACGTAATAACCGTGCCTAAACAGCGGTGGGAGTTTCCTATTCTACCATGGGGTAAGCATTCATCTTTCAGCTCCTTCCATCAAAACCATTTTATAATTAGAATTATCAAGATAGACTTTTAAATTAATCAAATTGAATTAGTTAGAAACAGGTTATAGAATATAGGATCAATAAGGCCCAATGTTCACCTTTTTGACCACTCTACATTTCAACATCATGCAAAAGAAGAATACATTGTTGTTCCCACTTCAAAAGTCTTCTTCATCTTTCCCCTTAGACCTGGACATTATATGTTCCTCAACTTAATATTTATAATTATGATTATGAGCCCTCAAGGTTGACTTATTGAGGTCTGACCACCGGCCATATACGGTTTACGGATCAATCAAATCTATGTGGTCCTTCACAGTTTACAAAACCTAACATATCTCTGGTCCGGGCCATTCAAATATTGTACCGGACCGTATAGATATAGAGACAGTAATAGTAGAAGTCACTAGTCAAGCGTCAGCATTTCCTTTTTCCCATTGAAAAACCAAACCTCATTTTCATGGAATTATAGCTGTAATACACTCACACACACACAAAAGAAACAAGAAAAGTCTATTTTTTATTTATTCGAAAGGGTCCCTCTCCAAAATTTATTCTTCTTCATTTAAGGAGTCTACACTACATTGTCTGAGATTATTTTTTTCTCTAAATACTCTTTTCCAGTTTTCACATTTCATGGTAACAAACAGGATTTCTTTCAACTATACCAAATTCTACAGGGAATTCTAGAAGAGATAGTTTATGTCTAAATCTTTCACCTACTCTTTTTTAATATACACATGTACTTGTAGATCCATGTGGTCTGAGTCTTTACTATAAAGTTAAAAATGTTAGGCCTATCTTATTTATAGGGACCATTGTCGAAACTAGAAAGAAGTAGAGTGAGGTTTCTAAGGTTAGGAGAGGGTAGGCACTAGACATAGTTTTATACTGCTTTTGTGTTACCTGGCTGTTATATTATATCTATTGATGATGACCATAATAGATATGACAACAAAAATTTAACACTTGCAGACAATGATGATCCTAACTCTTATGAGAAGGGATATATAGTTTTGTTATTCATTAATATTAGAGGACCCTACTTCGACCTACCATTTTCATTATAAGTTTATTACAAAAAAAATATTCTATTTTTATCAAGGTGTTGTGAAATTCAAATACTTTTGAAAATTTGCAATAAATAAAACCCTTCCATTGAGTTTTTAAGCTCGTGACATTGTTGGGGTTTTGGAATATTGATAGCAAAATTATCTATGTTCATAACAAAATTAAAAAGTTTTCATTTCCATAATACATTAATACCCTTCTAAAAGCGTCTTTCATTTTTGCCCCCATTATTATTATATTATTTGTATATTTCTTTGCTTAAAGTCCGATTCTTTGTTTTTTTTTTGGTGGGAGGGTGGGTTATACATAAAATAAACAAAATTGCACCAAAGATGTTTGTTGAGTTATGAGTAGTTTCCAAGGAGTCTCTTTAGAAACATTTTTATATGATTATGAACTTCTTTTTGGCAGTTAAAATGGTGACAAATAAGGAAGAAAAGGATGTGGTGGAGCTTGTTGGATACATACTTGCTCATGTCCTTTACTCTCACCCTTCCTAACTCCTTAAACCCTACAGGTACACGCATCTCTAGTTCCTTCTTATCTACTTCTTTTGTTAAGCACAATTTAAAATTAAAATGAAGTGTTTTTATATGAAGATAGGACATGTAGGGTCTCTCTATATATGTATATATGAAAATAAAAGGGTTAATATATATATTTTTATATATAACACAGACATACACATCAGATCGGCATTTTTCCTACTTTTGAAATTTAATTTTCGTATACCGATCGTTATATCTAAATTCCATTTCCACCCACGTTTTGGTCCAAAATATTGACCTTTCTATTGCGAAATAGTAGAATAGAGTAAAAATCGGAATGAAACTTTAATATACATGTAAATCTATGATACATGTAAATCTATGATATGCTTCACAAAGAAATGACGGTAGCGATGCGACATACCAGGCATGTGATTTACTGGAATCCACTTCAAACCATCTATAAATTATTAAGTTTCACCTACATTTATGTGTAATTTATTACATCTCCTAAATGATATTGGTACTTTAAACTCTGAATATTTGTCCTTACTGTACCACATTTGGTTTTGTCTTCTCCAAATATCCTCGAATAATTAGTATCACTATTTGACTGTTAAAACTTAAATCTCACCAACATAAAGACAAATAACTAATGTTTTTTTTCTTTTTGAACCTGACAAATAACTAATGTTGACATAAAGAAAAGACAACAAATTGTGAAAATAAAGAGAAAAGTAACTGATTTCACTTGGCATTTATAGATTTTTGTTTGTAAGCTTTCTCTAGAGGAATACTACCTTCACAATAATTTTACTACCACGCAAAAGTGAGATGAGCTGTGCGATAACAAAACTTCTGAATAAAACAACCATTTGACCTTTCTAATTTGGATAAATGTGAGATGAAGTATTTTGAGTGTCTAACAACCAATAATTTAGGACTGTTGAGTTGTGAATTGGGTGTGGCCACATTGATTATCAAATCCAACCACTAGATAAGTATATGATTACATGGAATGATTAGACACTTAATTCCAGTGGTATCCTAAGGGTCTAAGCACATTATTATAGTTATTTAGTTACTAAATCTCATTAATTTTGTTTTGATAAATAATTCCTTCTGCTTCTATTTCAAGATATGATTAACTAATTAATTACGTTCTTTTTATGATGGGAATTTTATTTTTTTCATAATTGTATTACGACTGTATCCAGCACGACGTTGACTTTTAAATATCCAGTCTCCCACACATGCGGGATTAAATTGGCGATGAAGAAACAAAAATGTTTTCGTAAAGATTGTTAGTTTATGTTGTTTATTAAGTCACCCAAAATTTATTATTATTATTTTTTTTTTTGTTAAAGTCCCAAAATTTATTATTGAGAGACGCATATAGTTAACTACTCCCACTATTATTATTAAATATACTTAATGATACAAACATTGCATCATTAAGCACAAATAAGATACAAACAATGCATCATGAAATTTATTTAAATTGATGCGAGTAGGTGGTCTTAAGGTTAATCTAAATATGCCTGGCCGTATTAAAGATCTTATAACCCCACCAAAGTTGAACCGATTCTATTGTCTTTTTCTTCCCAACCACCTTAAACGTTTTACTTTTTTTCTTGTTTTTATCATTTTATGTTAGGACTAGGAGTTTATGTGCCACCTTTTTTTTTTTTTTTTTTAAGCAAACAGATAAACCGTCTACTTGTATATATATAACTCTAAAGAGTAAAAACCAAAAATCATCTAGACAACAAATACTCTAAAAATATGTGTTGACAATTTTTTATAGCAGTTTCCAAAAACTTAATTGGTTAAATATGAATGGGAAACGACACTTATAACAAAATTTATAAATTATAAAACTTGATCGTACTTGTTTATAATATAAATAAATTTGGTAAAACAAATCAAATATATAAATATATATAATGATAACAGCTTGATTAGTTGGTATGGAGAGCAATAATAATGTTTGGATGCGAATGAGATACTAACAAAAGTTGCTGAATAAAAAAATTAAAAGAGATTTCTACTTTCTTAATGAAACTGGTGGAGGAGAAGGTCGGCAATGAGTGACCACCCTTCTGATTAGACCAAATTAGCATCTTTCTTGTTATCAAAGGAGTCCGTATAATATCATTATCATCTTTAATTAATCAGAGTTCAGACACTAATAATAAAAGATTTGTCCTCCTCATATATAGTAGTATCTTATTTCTTCTCATTAAAATTGTTTGGTTGTTATAAGGTTATGCAAATCCTCTAGATAATAACATTACTGTCATAACAATATTTCTGACGCAAATATAATTAGTAATTAACAAAAAATATCCACAGTGCGTAATATTTGCTTTTGACTACAAAGTTACTATTACGTTTAAAATATGGAAGACATTCTACATGTGTATACATATTTTAATGCATTCTTCTCAAAAATTAGTCGTTTAGATAGATTTCTAGACATCTAGATAGGCGATAAAAATCACTCAAACATTGCAGTTTTGGCTATCGATGAAAAATAATTAACAAAAAACAATAATTACTGAGTTAGACTTTTAATTAATCAATTTGTACCTCTAATTAAATTATTTATAATTTTTCTTTATACAGAAAATGAGATAAAAGAGTTACTTTTAACATCACATTAAACTTACATTAATTAACTAAAACAAATAATACTGACAACAAATCTTTGACTAATTAGTTAGGTCATAGGTGTTAGACCCTCTCAAAAAAATCCTGACACTGCTTTTATGCATGCAATTTTATATTAGACATGGTTTTATAATTTCGTCGAGCTTCTTTTGACATCACATATTGTCTACCCGGATTTTCTTATTAAACATATTTTGAGGAGAATAACAGATAATACAATATTCAGTAAAAGAATAGTGTATTTTCTAACAGAAAACAAAATTTTATCGTAAAGTTTACACTTCACCGTCAAAACACAGCTACTTATGTCAGTGACTCTTCTTCTATCACCACTACACGACAAAGATACTTACACATTTTACATAACTCGCGTGACTCTCATCCTTCTGTTTTAATTGGATCGTATCTTTCACGCGCTATTATAAGGTCACGCGCTTATCGTCTGGCACACACACCCGCACCGTACCCGTCGTCGGTCTTTTCGCCAGTTAAGCGTATTTTTCCGTGAAAGAGAATAATATAAGTAATAAATATAACGTTCTGAAATGAATGATGTCGAATAATTTAATACTGTAAAAATTCGATTTAAAAAGAAGCTCATTATTGTTTTTTTTTTTTTTTAACTCATCTCTGTTGCTACCTGTTTCTTTCTCTCTGCTCATTCCCTTTTTTAGCCTAAATCAGCAAATTTATTATCTTTGTTCTCTACTTTGTCTGTGTATCGTTTTTTTTTTCTTTTCCCTCTGCAAAGTAATGAATGCTTTGTATAGCTAATAATGTTTGTCGCATTTTGAAGCTTCAGATCTGATTCTTGTTTATGCAAGTAATTGTGTTCTGTTTCCCTGTTCTTCAATTAAGCACCATTTTTTGTGAAACCAAAAAGCTGTTTGCTTTGCTTTCTTCAAGAGTCTAAATTTTGGAGTTTGAGAGTAATCAAGAGTGAGGAAAATCTGGTGAAAAATGCTGGAAATTGGAAGTCCCAATTCTCTCTTTTTCCGTACGAACACTACTTGTAATAATCTTCTCCGAGAGCTTCAGGTTTTGTTCTTCTTCCTCTCTTTTTTTGTTTTCCTTCTTTAATTTATTTTGTAGGGAATTTTGGTTTTCTTGATGATGACGGTTTATGGAAATATATCACTGTTTGTTTTACTTCCAAGAGTTTAATGATGATTTCTCTTGGTCATAATGAGTTTTAATAAAGATAATTTTACAGAATTAGACTTTTGTTTTCACTATCTTTCCGTCTCTTGGTCAAAGGGTTCCTGTGAATTTTGACTAAACATGCTTCTGGATTTCTTTATTTTAGTCACCATCCTGGTTATATCTCAATTTATAGAAATTTCTGTACATTTTTTGGGGGTCTACATGTAACTGTTGATGTTCTTTGGTAACAATTTTCATTCACGAGCTCATGTAGTCGAAATTCTCTGCTTATTGTGTTGTATTAAGGCTAATTTCATGAGTTAAAATGACCTTCTTTTTTTTGGTTGGTGTATGAAACAGCAAATATGGGTTGAAATTGGTGAGAGTGAGGCTGAGAAAGACAGGATGCTGATGGAATTGGAGAGAGAATGTCTTCAAATCTATCAAAGAAAAGTTGACGAGGCTGCAAATTCTAAGGCACGGCTTCATCAGTCTGTTGCAGCTATAGAAGCTGAAGTTGCTTCTCTAATGGCTGCTCTTGGAGTGTTAAACATCAACTCACCGGTACGAGCTATCTTCATGCCAGATGTTTTATTAGATTGTGTGTTTAGCTTCCAACTATTTGCTCATTCTAATTGATTTTCCCACAAAACGTTGTGTGTGTGTTTTCTTGCATTTTGATGCTCAGATAAAAGTGGATAAAAGCTCAAAATCATTGAAAGAAAAGCTTGCAGCCGTGACCCCTCTAGTCGAAGACTTGAGAATTCAAAAAGAGGAGAGAATGAAGCA